CGTGCTCCCTGGAGCAGCTGAGGGGCGAGGGCAAGGCGGGGCCGGGCAGCCAGCGATGGACAGCCGTGATCTTTCTCCTTCACATACACACACACACACCCTTTCCATACGAGCACGCTTGGGATTTCTGTGTGTGTTTAAGAGAAGGCGACCGCATCTATTGTCCAGCCTTTGGCAAACTCTTCTCGGTGATTTAGCCTCTGATTTCCCCGCTGGGACTCCTAGAGTAAAGCCTCGAGGGGCAAAACTGCCCCCTTTGTTTATTGGAGCCGGAGCCTGCCTCTCCTTAAGCCCAAGGAACCTGGACAGACCCGCCTTTCCCAGAACCGGAGACCTTGGCCTCCTCAGTCTCCCCTCACTCAAACAAAAGCCGGAATTGGAAAGACCACCCCTAAATTGGTATTTACCCTCTAATCGGTGTCCTGCTTCCCTCAAGTACCCATTACCGTAGCTCTTCTTAGCTAACAGGAATATTAAACATTTGAAAGGATGCGAAGCCAGAAAGAACCCTTTCTTTTACAATTCTATTCGCTATCCTGCTGTCTGTGCATATCTGTCTATGCAGCGAGGTTTCCACTTCGAGGGTGGGCCTTTATTCACAAAGGCTGGGGTCTTTAGGGGTTTTTTAGGGCATTTGAAAGGAAAATTGCGGTGAAGAGTTGCTGCCTCGGTGTAAAGAGTGGGATCGGGTCTTCTCACCCAAGGAAAAAAGCAGGTCTTGCTGGCACTGAAGCTTCCTCGAATCTGGAAATGATTTGTTTAGTAGGTTTCTTTGAATTGCAAAAACCCCGGCAACCAGGATTGGGGAAGGGATTCCTCTCCCCGCCCTGCAGCTCTTACATACCCCTGAGGGGTCAGGTTGACTTGAATGGGATTTTGCTGGGGGAAAGGGGAGAAGGTGTTGTGCGTGTCGCCATGATCGGAAGTCCGTGTTTAATTCTTACATGCGAGGTGGAAAATCTGCGTGGGAGGGCGATCTTAGAAGTGAAGTCTAGCCTTCCCTGTTACTAAGAAGAAGGGTTATTCTAAAGGTTGGTTTTGCTGGTCTTTCATTGTGTCTAAGGGCAGTTCCAAAGATACACTCCTGAAGTCATACTCTTTGCTTGCTTGTTCAAGTCCTCTTTTATCTCTTTACCTGAATTTGATGTAAATAAATCTCCACATTCCTTCGCTAGTTACTGTTATCATACTAAATATCTTCTATAATACAGTTTAGTATTCTCAGACTCTTTAGTAGAAATAGTCTTACACTGTTTACTCTTAAGGCAGAGAAAATGTTTTCTATATGATAAAATCCCTTAAAAGGAAAAAAAATTAGAAGGAGCATTTGCTCTGGTTTACTAGCTTTATTACCGTCTGTGCGTTTGCCCAAAAGGCCTAAAATAAGAAATTTGTATTGTTTTACCATTTTACTTTCAAGACATAAGATTTAGCACTCAGAGCAATAGGATTTTAAGTATGTTAGAGGTGTAGAAAGTTTATTAATTGGTAGTATACAGTTTTTCTTTCTCAAATTGGGATTAAGAACTTGATTATCCTATTTTTACTTGCATAAATAATTTCCTAAGAAACAATAAGTACCCTTACACATACTATAAATGTATGATAAATTATATAGAAAAGACAAAAGAGTCCTAGGAAATTCACATAAAAAAACTATGCCACCAACTTGGTATGAATAATTAGTAGACAGCTAGATAGGCAACCCTCTTCCCTTTTCCGTTGTTTCTTGTAATATCTCACTTGGGACATGGTTGTTCACTCACTATGAGAAAGAACATCAGAGAAGAACTAGAACTTGCCAATCAATCTGTCAACTAAGGCAAGACAGACAAGCCAAACTCAGGTAAGAACAAAGGCTTGGCAGGGCAGACAAGGTTTGTTACCTGTACTAGTCAGGATAAATTGGGTTGTAACAAACATCTCAGCAGCTTATTGCAACAAAGATTTATTTTTCATACATGTTACATATTTAATACAAGTCACGCCTACCACAAATGGGGTTCACTGGAAAACAGATTCTGATACTCTGAGATTTGCATGCAGGAGGTTACTGGTTTCCACTATCAAGAACAATCTCTGGAGACTGTGGGTCACAAAATCAGGCAGAGGGAGAGGTTGAACTGCAGCACAGTTGCAACTGAGACTTCAACCAGTTCTGCAGGGAGCTCTGGAGCTGGGATGGCCCTTTAACATTGCCCTAAATTGAGGCAAGGGGCTGGGTCTTTATACCCTTACATCAACTTGTCATTGGATATGGGCTGCACCCAGGGAAGGATGGTCACCTTCGGTGAGAAGGCTCTCTTTAGCCAAGAGCAACCCCCAGAGAGGGACCCAGTTGAGAGCTGTCAGCCACCAATATTTCCAGCAGTTGGGAGAGGTTGTGTATCAGTCCTAAAGGGTGGACCTGGAGAACTCATCATAACATCCACTACATGGACTCTGCTCATTGTAGTCACTGAGGTCCCCAGACTGATGGAGGCTTCACTGAGATACATGCTTTCAAGATTGCCACAATAGGGATCATAAAATTTAATTGCTAGTGCTGCAGTGTCTTGTTCTAGCCATTAAAATGCTTCTACTGAGAAGCAATATGTTTTACTTCCACTCACATTTTATTGGCCAAAGAAGTCACATGACCAAACCTAACCTCAAGAGAAAAGGGAAACATAATTCTATCCCACGTTACTAGGAGGAAGAAAACACGAAAAGCTGTAAACAACCCTAATAACTACTATGGTGTCCAAAAGGAAGTTAATCCCCAGCACTCTAATCACCAAAAGCTCTACAAGTACAGAAGGATCCTCTAACACATGGAGAAAACTCTGCAGTAATAAACTGGGAAATGAGGGGAGCAACAGAGGAATCCAGGTGGACAAACCAACAGCATCTGCAAGACTGATCGATCTTCACTATATGGTATGGCCCCTCAGGGATTATATCTTTCCTCTGAGGTGGAAGACCTGCAAAAGTCTTCTTGCAAGGCCCTAGTTTTAGGAGGGAACTGGGAGCACTAAGCAGATTTTTAGAACAAGGACTGAAACAATGACAAAGGCAGAACCCCTTTTATACGAAAGACGACAAATGAAAGTTACCTGGGCTCAGAGAGACTGCATACTTTTTAAGAACAAACCTTATCATCATGAAGTGGTTGTCCCAAGGAAAAATAGAAGAAAAAATTTTAACTCTAGAATAAAAACAATACAGATGCCCAGAAGTTAGCACGAGAACATACTTCAGGGTCCAGTAACACAAGGCAACTTAAAGCTGCCTAGTGGAGGGTGAGTATAACTCAGTGGTAGACCACATGCTTAGCATGCATGAGGTCCTGGGTTCAATTCCTAGTACCTCCATTTAAAAAAGGGAAGAAAGAAAGAAAGCTGCTTAGAAACTTCAGGATTTAATCTTTAGGATTAAATTGAGGAATAGGACATGGCATAATCTCATTTTGGAAGATTCAGTTGTAATTGTAGGGAGAGGGGAAATCCCAGATGTAAAGCACAAGGAAAATAAGATCGAAGGCAGACCCCTCCTTGACATCCTCCGGACCTAAAAGCAAACTTAAGTCTCTCTTGTTCAGAGTGTGGACAACAGAAATTGTCCTGTTAGGACCTGTGTAGGAAGTATGGCTACTTGGACATGTGTGGCAGAGACCTGGTGATCCACAAACATATCATCTGCTCCTCAATATTTCCAGCTTCTTTGTGAAGCTGTAGTAGAAGTAACATGTGTCATTTCCAGCCAAAACACAGAAGAGCCAGTATGACACTCCAGCTATCTTTTCTTGCCACAACAACCAAGAAGCTCTAAGTACTCCAGATAATACACCCACAAGATGGTGCAGCTTCCATTAGCATGGGTCCCTGAAAGCTCAGCAGAACCCCATATGAACATACACTGGACATGTATCTTGAATGAAAAATACACCTTTATAGTAAGCTATGGTGACTACAGAGTAGTTATTGAGCATAATCTAGCCTATATAGAGTAGTATAACATGTGTTACTTCCAAGAGATAAAGTAACTAAATAATAGGCAACATCAGCGTAAGACTTTGTGGACTTTTTAATGATGGCCATTCTGACTGATGTGAGGTGATACTCCA